TAACATGAGTCACTCCTTCATCCCTTTCATGGTTAGTAATATCCCATTGTATGGATACACCACATTTTGTTTCCCCATTATTCAGTTGATAGGCATTTGGGTTGTTGTCTCTTTTTAACTGTTAGGAGTAATGTTGACATGACTATTCATATGTAAGTGTCATATGGCTATATGTTTTCAATTCTCTTGAGTATGTACCTAAGAATGAAACTGCTGCTGAGTCATATGGTAACTCTAAGTTTAATTTAACTATGTCTAAGTTAAACTAAGCTGCCAAGCTGTTTTCAAAACTAGCAGCATCATTTGACATTCCCATCAGGGATGTATGAGGGTACCAGTTTCTCCAGATTCTCATAGACCACAGTATTGTCTTTCTCATTACAGCTACCCTAGTGTGCATGTCGTTGTAGGTCTCATAAAGCTTTTCTTAAGCCAAGTTTATCAAACTAGTTTGATATCTTCAAAGATTCACTATGATTATGGATTTAGATTATTCTATTAAAATACCTTGGGATCTAATATCTATCTTCCCAGACTCTATTCTTCCTAGGATGCACAGAAAGTAAGAAATTTTTATCACCAATTGAAAAGGCTGTGTTTCAACATACAAAGGGAAGAAGGACCTTCAGGTTTGCCTCTCAGGTCTTAGGGCCAAAACTAACACAGGAACTGAAGCGTAGATTTTCATGGGTGTTTCTTCTTTGCATATGCACACGACATGTTCTTGAGTGAGGTGAACCTTTTGTAGCATGCAAACAAACACATATGCAAAAAGACTAACAAAGCAGATTTTCATCTGCCACCCAACTGCTAATATATCCCAAAAGTCTGCTATCCAGTTTCACCTGCCCGGTTTCCCAGTGAAATTGACTGACTGCTGCTAGTGAGGAATGTGTTATTAGTCACAAGCTGGCGATATAGAAGCCACGTTTACTAGAAACAAACAAACAAACGAATGTAGAAAACCAGAGTCAGAAAACAAAATAGAGTACAGAAACTGAAATTAGTGTTCGGTAGCTACTTGATATTAAATCTAGGAGCCAAAAAAGAGGCTTACGTGGGCTTGGAGCCCCCAAGGTACCCTGTTCCAGCTACCAGTTCAGGTGGCCCCAGCAGGGAGTCCACTGGGTGTTTTGATGGGACTCCCAAAACTGTCAGAACATCATTCTAATAATCAAAACATAATTATAAGAAAAATAACAAATGTTGAAGTTTTAACTCACTAGTGATAAACCCAACAGGATGACAAACTGGATCTGAAGATGATGCAAAAAACTCATGTACTTATTTATACATTTCTAGGCCTTGGAAAAACAGGGATGCAGAATAATATTATTAAATCAGGTTCAAACCTGCATAATGTTCTCTAGGTCAAAAAAACCATCACCTTCAGTTATCCCCTCTAAGAGTAATCGTTTGCTCCGTATCAGTTTTATTCAGGTTGACACCTAACTCTACAGTGTTGTAAAAATGTATGAACCGTAATTACTTAAAAAGTGAATATTAAGTTAAAATTTTTACATTCCCCCGGAGAGTCACGTGACCCTTGTTAGCATGCTCAAGCATGGCACCACAAGATAAGACTACCTTTTCTTTTTCCCCAGGTTTAAATATTTTTTCATATTACTTTGAGCATTTGGGTGAATAGGGTGTCTTTAATGTGATTCAGAAAATTAGTGAGCGAACACTTTTTCGGTTGAGTTGGACACATTATTAACAGCCTATCAGACATATTCAAACAAGGATACTGACAACTAGGTATATAAATTGGAAGTGAGGGACTGATTACAGTTGGAGAAAAGCAGTTGGAATATGCAGCACATAGATAGTAAGTAAAGCTTGGGACCAGAGGAGACATCCACAGAATTAGTCTCACATGGAAGAACATCGGGCAGAGGGCTGGGCACTGAAGACCCGGTGTTTAGTGTTGGAAGAGGATTAAGGTCCTGCCAGTAAGGCCCTGGGTAGGAAATCATGAGAATAAAGTGTGTCAAGACCAATAGAATTCATGCATTGTCCAACACATGGTGCATGGAGAAGCCAAAGGGATAAGGACGGAGAAATGACAGGATTTTGCTCTGGGAATCATGGGTGACTCTGATAAAAGGCGGTTTTGGTGAAGCGGTAGGGACAAAGCCTGATTCGAATTAGTTCAGGAGGGAATTGGAAGACAGACAATTCCTTGAGACTTTTCAGCAAGCCATCAGTGCCCAGAGGTACAGGTTGTATCAAAGAAGAAAGGTGGGGTTTTTCTTTGTGTGCTGAGCAGTCACTTTTTTGACTTCCTACTCATAAATCTTTAATTCCCTCGGCAATGGGGAGGGTTCTGTGAGACATACTGTGCATGCTAATATAAAATATCAGAATCCTAATATAACCAGAGTAAACTAGAAAACAAAGGCCTGGGAGACAGTAGTCATGACAGTAGCAAGACTCTGAGAAGCTTTGTAAAGCAGAAAGCCTCAAAGTGCATCTTGAAGGATTCGAGCTCACCTCAATGACAGGAATAGTTTTCTAGGCGGTGGAAGCAGAACAAGTCAAAGGCAATAGCATATTTGGGTTGAAACAGTGACCTTCACATTGATTAAACTGACCTGACCGGTTAGACCTGCCCGATCCTCTCCCCTCAAATAGGTAGGTAGAAGAACTGAAAACGTCTTCACGTGTTCTCATTGGACATTATGGTGTCCTAGATTCTTTAGGAAGCTATGCATGGTCCTTAGATCGTGTAAGAATGCTTTTCAGCTTCTTAACAAACTTTGGTTTTTTGAGGAAAAATTGTATCAATCATTTTAACATCACTTTTTAACTCAACCCCCCAAAATGCCAATCATTTACTATACAGATTTCCAAAATTTTTTCCAGAGAATTTTTGTGTGTCAGTATTGTAGAACATTTCATTGCTGTGATTAAGTATGCATGAAAAAGTATTTTATTCTTCTAGCTCATCTTGAATAAATGTCCACGATAGAAATATTACAGAAGACACTTCCCTGTACTTTTAAATTTATCTCCAACCTATAGAACATTGTCCAAAATATCACAATAACATTTTTTGTGGAATAACTTTTAAAATACAAATTGGAAGTTATAACAGAATTCCATTTTCATGGAAATAATGGGAAGAAAAAACTGCATGTTAGTTTACCCGTACTTTCCTATAAGGTAAAAATTAAATCGTCAGAAGAGAATTTTAATAACTATTGTGGGGAGGGTGCCAAAAAGCCTGATGTGATTCCTCAGTCACAGGTGTTTGACTGAAGGTGGACATTATGACTGTGAAATTGATGGAATCCTGACATTTCTGCATAATCTTCAGCAGAAGTTTACAAGTGAAATACTAGAAAACACAAGAATAAGAGTAGGTTTAAGGAGAGCTGAAAGATTTATGTAATGCATTCAAGTTAATGGTGAGGACACAGAAGAAACTGTAATATTTATCAGGAAAGAAAGTCCACAGGAGCTGCCAACATAAACCCCACAGGAATCCCAGTTTTGGACTGGTCATATGTAATAACATCAGTATCAATGTTTTGAAAAGTCGACTGCATAAAATGCATAACAAAATTATCAGTTTTGCAGGTGGCTTTAAAAACTTTTGAGTTAATGAAAAGTTGATTGGAATAAATTGAAAGAATACTGTTATCCATTGACTTATAAGTTGGATATTAATATGGACCAATTCAGGTCATGCATCTAGGGATTAAAAGTTCCAAATTATTCCCATCAAATAGGGGTCTCAGTTTTCAATTCATAGTCCATGAAGGGATGCTGAAGATCAGTCTTTTCTCTTTTCCACAGCTTTTCAGCCTTCCACAGTCTCGCCCTCCCACCTTTCTGAACTCACCCCATACCATCTTCCCTTTCTATGTAGGTGACCACAAATATGTGGTTCCAAGACTTTGTTTTATCATTTCTAATCATATTAGGATTTATTCTGACTTGCATATTAAATGCACCACTATTAAAATTTGCTGTATTAGATAATATATTTTGTAGTTCAAGACAAGAAGTAGAAACTCAAGATGGTGGTAAGGGTCAAGTAAGCCAATCCATGCAAATATTTTGAGGAAATATAAAAGAGGGTCACTTCAGATATGCTAAGCCAGGTCTTTGTTGGGCCAGAATGGGCCAGTCCCCTGGATAAAAGGGCTATACACTACTGGCTCCCCACTTGCCCGCCCTACCTTCCCCCAAATTGCAGACATACATTGATATTCTTTCCCACTGACCCTCCGTGGTACCTGAAATTCTTAAGGATTTATTTCTTTGAGAGAAATACAATAATCTATTCAGATAGACTAGTACAGTCTGGGAACACAGGTAAGTAAGTTTTGATAGGAAAAAAATAAAAAAAGGAATGTCTCAACCTAGAACATGTGAGTTTGAAACACTGAAAGAGGAACATGAGATGACGTCCGTGTGGAGGAGATGGAGCAGGAGAGGACAAGGACAGGGGGGAAGTACAGGGTTTTTTTTGCTACCTTGTTAGCAGTCTTTCCTAGACTCATTAAGCCTCAAGTAGCAGAAGAGATGTCAGTTAGCTGGAAACCCAAAGGGAAATCAGAACAGATACCCTTTTCATTGTTTAAACCCTGTGGCAAATTCAGAGTATCCATTTTTAAGAAAAATATTCCCCAAGAGTGTGTGTGAACTCATCTTTCTGATTTAAATATTATAATCTTCTCTGAAAGTAACATAATTATTTACAAAATTGATCAGTAGCGCTTACCTCCTAGTGGATAGCTTTGGTTTCATTTCTTTTTTACTAAAAGTTTATAGATCCCTCTGTGTTGAAATGCTGTTGTTTTAAGCTGCAGCTACTAAATATTTGGGGGTGGTGATGTGCTGGTAAAGGATTCATAGTTGTAGGACTGCTACTCAGCTGGCTTTTGCCCTTAAAACTTGCCTGGATTATTTCAAGTAAATTAGATTTAGAGTTTCAGTTACGCTGAGCTGTGATTTATGGATGCATATATGTTTTTACTTTGTAAATATAGTTCATTTACCCCTAAAATGCAAGGCAGACGGATGGGGACTTCAGGAAGAGCCATCACGAAGAGCACCAGTGTGAGTGGGGAGCTGTACGCCCTGGAGCGTAACGACGGCAGCCAGTCGGACACGGCTGTGGGGACGGTCGGAGCAGGTGGGAAGAAGCGGAGGTCCAGCCTGAGCGCCAGGGTGGTCGCCATCGTGTCTCGGAGGAGCAGAAGCACCTCGCAACTAAGCCAAACAGGTGAGTGAAGTGGTTGCGTCTTAAGCGCCTCCAGCTCTTCTGGCGAGACCGAAGTGCACCTCGTGATGTGGCTCGTGACGGGACTGTGGAGGGCGCTGATCCTTCTTTGCAAAGGAAGTTTCTCTCTCTCTGTCTCTGGAAATCTGTTACATGTGTGCATTCATTCATTTTTTTCTGTACAGCTGTCTAACAAGGTTATCATTTGTCAATCTGTAAAGTGGTCAGATATTTTCCTTTAAGTCAAGAAAAACAAGGAAAGCTGTGTTTACAAATATGCAAGGAAATGCAAAGAAGTATTAAAGGTCCAAATTGGTTCCTATGCGAGAAAAGCAACAGGAGTCTCATTTTCAAAATGTCCCATAATACAATTACTCATAATGTAGGTGTTGTCGATATTTTTGTGGAAAAGAAGGTCAGTTGTGCAACTTGAAATACAGTCTTCAAGGTATTGTGTGAATGTAATAATGGAACGGTAACTTTTATATTTTCAATGCAAGTAAAAACCCAGCAGTTATTTTTACTTTAGAAAAATGGGTCAGTGAGTTTGTGCAAAGAACAATGTTTTAATACAAATTTGAGTTTCCAATATTTTCTGCTTATTAATCTTAAAAGCTCTATGTCCTCAAGGTGTATGGAAAAAAAAGCAAACAGAAGGGAGATGGTTATTTCTGTATTATAAGATATTTTTTAAATTGCCTAAAATTACATAACATTTGAGCAGACATGTTATGTAATTCATTACTATGCTCAGTACTAGAAAAAACCAGAGGTAAGTGAAGTATTGAACTGGTTTCAGTTTTCAGCATTTGTTTCTCCTCTTTTAACCAGTGATTCCATTTTTTGTTCCTTAACAGCAAAAGTCTCATTATCACAAAATGTATTTATGTCAAAAAACTTCCATAAAGTCCCTTGCATAGTTGAGGTGCCGTCCTGGAGAGCACGGACTGTCAACTATGCACGGTACTGGACATAGTGACAAAGAATGAGAGGTGGGAGACTGTGAGCGTTCAGAATTCAACTAGTGTGTACAGCTAGCTGTTCCTCTAAAATGAGCTTTGTCTGTCTAAAAAGCATAGAATCAGAATGAACTAAGATCAGCGAGGGTCTCCGTCATAGATCTGCCTCGATGCCACCCCAGAAAGATGAGCGGTTTACATGAAGGAGGATCATTTGTCTTTCTTAGGCTAAGAGGTCTTCCTTAAGAGCAGGAGGCATTTTTCATGTATGTTGTTTTTGATTTACATTCGATGGTGGTGCCTCTTGGACATTGGTGTTTATACGATGTGCTTTACAGTGTAGGGTGTGGGGTGGGCCTTCATCACCAGATTTCAAAATGCTTCATCGCTCAGATGAAATGACACTCTTCCTTGATGTCATTTTGAGGAACCATGTTTCCTGCATGAGAAGCTGCAGGTGGAGGAGATGGCTTATCTTCTTCTAACTTTATAGTCACTCTCTTTTTATTTAACCCCCTATAATTAGTTCACTCTCTGTCACTCACCTGAGTAGAATTATATTTTCTGAGAATAAAGCACAACCACGATTTTACCTAGGAACTATCCATGTAGCACAGCTTGGTAGGTAATAGGTTCCAATGATTGTCATTGACACACTCACCCCCTTTGCTTTATTAATTTAAATTGTATTCCAGTTAAAGTCATTGCACAGTTTTCACCATGTCTACCCTCCCAAAGTTGCCTTGTTAATAACTTCCATGGGGTGCCCTAGTTTAGGAGGGTAGGTTGCAATGCACGGGGGCGACAAGGACAGTGGATGGCAAAGCAGATCTGTCCCTGAGTGACGCCCGGGTGGGCTCGGACTTCATCGCCCCAGAACTCAGTTTGCATATGATGGGGAGCTTGGACTGGGTGTCCTCCTGTGAGCTTTGCAGTGTAAAATCTTCTCTTTCTCTTTCTTCTGCATCATAATTTTACCTTTTATGTGATAACATGTTCGTTCTTCTTGATCTTCCTACAGCAAATGACAAACGGTGACAAGCCTCAGCTAGCACCCCTCTTCATTTTAGCAGGTGACCTTGTTTCCCCCTCTTCTATGCACTACAAGTGATTTCTTTCTTCCCTCTACCAATGATCATATTTACTCCTGTGAAGATTCACCAAAATTCAGAATTCCTCATTCTAAGAAATCTTATTTTTAATTGTTTCAGTTTCTGCATATGACCCATCAAATCTGCATTTCCGGATTCTTCCTCACCCAGGAAATATTCCTGAATGTTAATGTCCTGTAAGAAAGCTCCTTCTGGAAGCCCCACTTTAAACAAGTCTGATATTTCCATATATCGGGATTTTCAGCTTCTCCTTTCAGTAGTACCATACTTTTTATAGTTACAGATCCTTAAAGTAGTTTTCTCATTTTTTAATTTTCCTCTGCTTGTTTTTCTCCTGGCCCATCATCCTGGGGTGATGCAAGGGGAGAATATCTGGTATTTATCAAATTTGAAGAAACACTAGTATAAATCATTTAAATGTCTTCATTAAAAGACTATTAATCTCAGGCCAGTGAGACGTTACAGGGTGCCCTCTGAGAGCACAGATAATTAAGATGTATTTTCTAATAGTATCAATTGATCAAAGATTTAGAGGAAGGAAACAGCATTACTTATATATTAAAACAAGCTGGATATTCTGTGGAGTAGAATGTATTATATTTAATGCAAGTGTTTACATATGTTTAATGTAAAAAAGGACTTAAATTAAGAGCTTTCCACACAGTGAACCCCTTTGCCCGCACTCAGCCTGGATTATAGGTTCTCCTGTACCATCCAGGTGGCGGATAATCAGGAAAATGTGAAGCATGTAGGAATAAAGTTTAACCAGCTCTTTTTGGAATGATAGATTTGGGGCATCAGTTTTCTATTTTTGTTTTCATAGCCACAGGTTTGTTCAAAGGAATATATTTGAGTCTTTGAAATCAAGTAGAACTTACCTCAGCAAACCAAAGAGCATAGTGAATCATATACACACACACATTCATACACTCACATTTACAGTGTCCTCAATTATATGTATGTAATTATTCTTATACATAATTTACTAGGCTCTTCAGTCTTATATAATTATTCTTACAGAATTTTTCAATTATAAATAATATTTTTAAATCACCTTTACCACCCTATTTACTCATGATAAAAGTAAAAATAACTTTTTAAGATATACGTTTTAACTGGGAAAGTGACATAAGCAGGAAAGTTTCTAAACAATACTAGGTGCTCCTGGGAAATGCCTTTGAGCAGCTGGCTAAGAACCTATTCAGTAAACAGGAGCGCAATTAGATTGAACAGTGAAGTAGTGAGGAAAAGGGAAACTAAGTAAAAGTCTCTGTTCCAGGAATACTTTGGAACTGAATGAAGCTCCGGGTAACCTTCGGGCTGGGCTTTAGGATGTGAACAGATTCCAGCTTGCGTAGGTCTGGAGACCCAACCTGTGTCGTACACGGGTGTTGTCCTTCCACTCAGTGTACATGAAAATTCCCTCTACCAATGATTGTAATTGCTTCAGTTTCTGCATATGACCGTCAAATCTGTATTTCCTGATCTTTCTTACCCAAGAAATATTCCTATTTCTTAATTTTTTTTTATTTTGGCATCATTAATGTACAATTACATGAGCAACATTATGGTTACTAGACTCCCCCCATTATCAAGTCCCCACACATACCATACAAAGAAAACAAATCCTATTCCTAAATTTTAATGTCCTCTAAGAAAACTCCTTTTTGATGTCCCACTTTAAACAAGCTTAGTATTCCCACATACCTGGATTTCCAGTGGTAATCCCCTCCTGACTAGTAAATGAAGGCATTGAAAAGGGTCTACAAATCTGTGAATAATCATCCCTAAATACACTCTTGTAATTATCTACAAGAATAATTATGATAACTATCACAAGATGGTCAGCATTTATGTATGTTATGTGTAACTGTGGTCTAACCATTTAATAAAATTATTTGTTGTTACTAACAGCTGAGGATACTTTAATAGATTAAATATGTTTATCATTAAACAGATTAGGATCTTTTTTTTAAATGATTAAAACACTGATTAAATTACGGGAGAGATGTTGCAGACTATTTTATAACTTTTAAACAAGAGTCAGTTAATTACCATGTGCTGAGAATGTGCTAACAAATCGCTTCTGTGTTTCTTTCATAGTAGATATTCTCTACGTCAACCAGTATTTTTCTGCCATCCAAATTTCTTCTCCCTGTGTAATCCTTTCCCTTCAAGGCCCTGCTCAAGACACTTTAACTCTATAGTTGCTCCCGGTTATTTCAACATTTATCAGTATATTTTTCCCTCTGAATTCCTGTAGATCAAGCCCTCTGACTTCACTGACAACTTCCTACAATCACAAAAATTGGAGCTAAGAAGTAGGTATATGTTTGTTAAGGAAAAACATCTCATGCAGATGGAAAAACAAAAACTTCCCAGTGACCTGAAAGTGACGCACGCTGCCTCTGAGCAGAAGAGTCCGGACCTCACGAAAAGTGCCTCGCAGGACCCCTGGGCCCCGGGAGCTGCTCTCCGTGTGTCTCAGCTGGGTACGCGGAGCGGAGCCCAGTTTCCTCCGGCTTCACCCCCGGCTTGAGGCCCTGCAGAGCCACCTTCTCTCCTCCCGATCTGGCACACTTGGCGCTACCTGTTTTGGGGTTCAGGCATTTACAAAAGACTGAGGAGACACTCCTGCCTTCTGGCTGCCCCATTTCCTCAGGAAATTCCTAAAAAGGGAAGGCATCCAATAGTTCTGTGGAAATTATTCAAAGATAATTGCTATCCTTTAAAAAGGGAGGAAAAGTACTGGGAGAAAAACACAAATATGCCTTTCAATACATTATCCCAGGCCATGAGCACAGTTTGCCTAAAGCAAACATGGAGGAAAGGACTGTGGTGGACAAAACGCTGAGAAGAAAAGGTTGGGGCCAGGCGTTACGGCCCTTCTCGGGGCCCTGCTCACTGTTTAATGGAGAGCTTTCAATCAAGA